GCGAAATTAGATTACGCCCCCCCCCCCCCGAAAAAATTATTGAAAACGCCCATGGACTACTAATCTCTATTTATTTATATTTATAATTTAGCCTGTAGGTGCGGCATCCGTTCAAGCTGTTCCTTGGGTGGTAAACGCTGGTGATAGACTCAGGTAATTAGTAAACCATTCTTCATGGGAAATTCATTCTGTCGTTTCCGGATCCGGATTAAATCCGGTTGATAAACGGAACCCGAAAAACGGAAATGAAAAGGGGGCCACAATGCTTTTGCTCTTTAGAAGATTAGAATTTAAAAAATATAGATATCTTTTTGCAAAAATATTTCCTAATATTTTTTCAGATAGATCAAATTATCTCAGAAACGGCTAATAGGGGTAATACGAAGCCATATAGATTCTTAAACTAAAAAACATTTTCTTTAAAATGGTATATGTCACAAGCTATCTTTATTCGCGGATTTTGAGAAATATAAGTTATAAAACTGTGACATTTCATGAAAAAAGACAGTTTTTAACTGAATGCGTAACTCGCGCTTAGAATTTGGGATTCGCGCAAATTTTGACTCTGATCTTGGCTTAAAAACACTCTGAGACCGTATTTAAAGAATTTGAGCTCCGACTTAAATTTGAGAAGCGGCTCAAATATGGTTGGTTGCACTAAAATTGTATACAATGTTTCAAGATTTAAGCCGGCGCTCAATTGAATCCAGTTTTTGGCGGATTTGAGATGCGGCTCAAATTCATTAAATTCGGACTCTGGACCTTTTATTCATGGGTGAATATTCTTACTTCCCCCTCAATCTCATTTATCCTTTTTCTAAGTTAATAGTTGTTTAACCCAGCTTGTACCATGACGTGTTTTCCCTCAGACGAAAATTCGAGAAATGATTTGTATGAATATCGTCTTATTTGAAATTTTTCGGGATTTTTATTTTGAGAAACAAATAAAATAATTCTAAGCTGTAACGTAACTTGTTACTGTACAACAGTGCCTCTAAAAGTTATTTTTTGACCAAAAATGAAACAGTTATTCATCTTTTTCTTTTTGAATTTTGATTATTTTCAATTTTGGTTTTGCGGATTTCTGCTTCCAGAAACAATTGAGTTAGTTGCCAGAACGAAACAAACACTTATCAATTTAGAAAACCGACAACATCGTCTAGATCTAGATTCTACATTATTGATCAGAAAAGGTTGCCAATCGGACAGAGCCATTCCATAATTAATGAATCACTTAATTTCATTTTTACAAAGTCATTTTAAATCTTTCAAGACTTCTTGATAGATGTGTTGGACTATCGATCTCCATTTTTTTGTATGGAATATTCTTGGTAATTTCAAGAGTCTTAAAACTGATTTTATATCTGTACTTTGACTAGGTATGAAGCCTTGTTCAAGCAGACGGACAACGACAAGGACGGGTTCGTGTCCGGAGTCGAGATTAAGAACTTGTTCCTTCAAACTGGTCTTCAGCAAAATATACTTGCTCATATCTGGTAAATTTAATATTGATCGGCATAAAAAATTTGCATCACTCCTTGAACTTAGCAAAGGGGGGGGGGGCACAAAACGTATTACTCTCCGGAAAATTTAAACAGTGGTTAAACATAACTTAGAATTGTCGTAGGAGGCTGATTTTTTGCATGCAAACTCAGAATTATGTATATTATGTGCATTTTTTGGTTTTGAAGGAATCTGAGCAAAAGTGCGCGCGCGCGCGCGCTTTTTGAGAAAAAATACGACTTTTTTGACAGTAAATCAATGTTAACTTCATTAATTGCACTTGAAAATTTTTCCTGACACTCTTGAAACAAATATGCGCTAAAAAAATTCAACCCCAAAGGCTTAAATGTCCGCGCGCGCGCGCAATAAAAGAAAATATCTTT